ACTCCCAGAATTCTGGCTGGGGAATTCTGGGAGTTGAAGTCCACCCATCTTAAAGTTGCTGAGGTTGAGGAACCCTGTCCTATAGATCCTTCAGAGGAAGACACCCCCACTCTATGGTCTCACCTGTTGGTCCAGCAGCAGCGTTCACAGCAGGGCTGGAATCTGGTCCCCAGCTCCGGAGGGTGATCTCGTTCTCTTCAGGCGCTGAAGCGATGAAACACAGAAAGGATCACAACTCAGAGCGATCGCCCCTTTTGCGCAGCCAAGCTACCCTCTCCTAACTTCCTGCAAATGCCATCTTTCTCCTGGGCTGGAAGACACCCCCTCAACCCAGGAACGTCTAACTTCTAGCAGTGATGCCGTAGGCTAGAATTTATTTCAGGCCGGAATCTCCTCAAGGATGTTTGGGGCTTGGAACGAGCCGTTCAAAGTGGTGTTTCTAAGCAAGGAATGCATTTCACCCACCACCCCGGGCTCCACACAGCTGTAGAACTAGCCCTTTAAAAAGGAAACCCTGGACCCCCTAACCCATGCCACTCCAATGCACCACCTGGTTATCTGGCCATCCTTGCCCCATATTTACTGATCCTCCTCGCCAATGAATGCAAAATACTTGGGAAAGACCCACCCCAGAATTCCTGCTGTTTGAGAATTGGAAAAGTCAACAGCAACGCCGGGTGGGAAAGAGTCATACTGAGGATGCTCATAGCTGCTCTTTTTCCCACCCAAGAGCCAGGCCGCTACAGAGAATCCCCAAATCTGGGTCAGTCTGACTGCAGAGCTGCTCTCTGCTCATGCACTCCAATGCACTTTGAATTTTGTTCTTCCACGCAGGTGATTTCTCAGTCAGGGATCTGTGCAGGGCCTCAGATGTGCAAGAGAACTGCACCCGGGGGCCATCTGGCCTTGCAGAACTCCTCCACGAGCCCTCAACACCACATGCCTTGGGAACACAGCCAGAACTTACGGGGCAATGTGAATTCCCCCACCTGCTTCACCGGCCTGAGGACTGACTTCCCCACTCTGGTAGGCAGAAGTGTAGAAAGTGTTGGACACGGGGCTCACCATGGCTTCTGGGGTAAGAATAGTTGCCTGCAGAACCAAGAGAGATTATGGTCTATTTGTAGAATCAAATCAAAGTCTATTGATTAGCCCTTAGGCCGTATCAAAATTCAAAATCTCAAACACACAGTGTTAATAAAACCCAATATAATAGCAAATTAGGTGAAATAGAAATAAAATACCAATTTTAGAATTTGCCCTTTTCCCTTGCCAACACTGGCCCTCTCCTGTGGCTGTGGCTGCTGGGTCTTGGCCAAACCAAGCACATTGGACAGTGACAGGGCATCACTGTGGGGTTGGGTGGAGGAACCAGTCTGCGTTCCCCCATTATTATGACTTTGGCACCAGTTCTGCCCAAGTTTCCTCTCCCGCAAATTAAAACCAAGGAAGCTAAGTCAATGGAAGAGATATCCAAGAAGGAATATTATGATAGGTCATATTGACGAATGACAGATGTATAACGTTCAGATCCAGAGGTGCAAGAATACTCTACACTTCTGCATTTAACCCAGATAGAGGCCACCTACTAAAACCCAAGAGAGTTGTAAGGTTTCAGCGAGCACATCCTTCTATGAACCACGTGCAGCTGAGATGAGGATGGGTTAGGTTTACATTTCACCTTTTCTCCCAGGAGCACAAGGTGGCATATCCAAGCTCCAATTTTATCCGACTGGCACGTTTATTTTATTTATTTGGATTGATGGAATGGGCCAAGGAGTGGGGCTGGGCAGTGGGTCGGATTCAAAAGCAAAAAGATTCAGAAGCCACAGGAGCGTTGACGTAGACCCGGCCAAAACTCAACTGGAAGAAGCCATGGCTTTTCCTGGGATCACAAGCTCTATGCAGACCCGGGAAAAGATGTGTCAGGCTCCTTGGCACCTGCCTACTCCAGAAGGAATGATTTCCAAGCAAGATTCACACCGAATTCCCATTCGCAAAATGCATTAGGATGAAAGGAACGGGGTTACAAGAATTCCAGCCCTTGGAGTATTTCTCGTTTAAGAACTAATTTATTCCCTTGGGCATCAGGATGGAAACCTCTCTGGGGTCTTTCTAACAGCCTGGAAGCAGGTCTTTTCACTGATAATGGTGACACTGGCACGTGGCTGTTTGCAGAACGACCTCCCAAATCTTTCTCAGTCTGGATATCCTTTATCGGTTGCACTGAGCAAGGAGTGGGGGAAGAGAGAGCATTTCCCCTGCCTTCAGACCTAAACAGAGCGCCTAATACGAGACAGATGCTCCTCCGCACTTGATCGACCTCCCCTGGTGGCCTCCACCAGTCCCATCTTTGTCACTTACCGTATTCGGCTGCAAAAGAGAATCAGCTGGCTGCAGGATCCAGTCACTGGGACTTGCAGGCCCCTTACAGTTGTCAGAATGCTCTGTTTCTACCTGCTTCGTTTTCTGTGCTTTCGGTTGCTTCCCTTGAAAGGAGAGGACAGGATATTAAACGCAGTTAAGGCTTTTCCCGTTCCTTGCTGTCAGCCCTTCAAGGTAGGCCAGGTCAGGAAATATAGCAAGGATTCCAGAAATGCTGCTTTATTGTTGTAGGGCAGTGTTTCTCAACCCCAGCCAACTTAAGAAGTGTTGGGGTTTCCCCCCCCTAAATTCCCCCCACCCCGCACGCC